AGTTCAAACCCACCAGGGAAGCTGGGCAACATATTTCTGTAGTGATACCACCTTGGACTGCAAGGAGGGGTCGCTATGAGTCAGGTCCGACTCCACGGCACATGACAACAATAACAACACAACATCTTTATACTATAAATAGAAAGGAAATTTCAGATGAATTATAGAGTTAAACATGTCTTAGTTCAGTTGAGGTACTAAAAATATCTGATACCAAAATGAATTAAGTTTCTATAAGAAAAATTTACAAAGAAATATACAAAATGGGATTTACTACTCTTAGATTCCTCAGCCAGTTAATGTGGAAAGGAGAATTTGTAAAGAAAGTTTTTGCAAGAGCTGTTGTTTAACTGGGTGAGAATCTCCATGCTAAGCAACAACAGTAAGGTATGAGGGGCTTCTCTCCTTTATGTCAAGCCTAGTTGGGTATGAAAAGGCAGTTTCTCAAAGGAACTGTTCTTTGAGAAAGCTTAAAAACTGAACTCTCAGTTGACGTGTTAAGAGACTGGTATCTGGCTCCTGCCTTGAACATATTGAAGTACAGATCCTGAAGAACAAGAAGCTTCCACAGCAGGGCTGTTATGCCAGGAAGTGATTAACAGTGGGTCCAAGATGCAAAGATCCTGAGGATTTTAGTGGAGCCTGCCCTGTGATCTTGCTTATGAAGGCTTCAACCTAAGGGTGAGTGCCTGTGTAGGATGACACAAAACAAAAAGGCTGAGATCTGAGAGGGGACTGTATTGGGAAGGGAAAGGGAAACACACACTAAAACTAGTGAAAATGTGTAAATCCTATTCTATCCTTATACTGGGAGCTCATCAACAAGGCAAATTTTCTTAGTAAATTAGTAAAATTATTTTAAATGAAAATAGTGATGCTACTAGCTTTATAAAGGAAAACACTAAAATATGTTCATGAGAGTAGAAATTGGGAAATCAATTTATCCATATAAATCAGTAGACTAAAATGTTTCTATGTTTTAAACCCAATAATTCTACTTCTATTAATCTCTCCTAAGAAGATAATCATAAATCCAGATAAAGCTGTATGTTATAGTATAATAGGAAAAATCTGGATACAATCTAAATATTCAGTGAAAGGAAAAACTGAAGTGAACTATGTAACATTGACTGAATATTATGTAACTACTAAGAATAATGCCTATGGGAAAAAAAGAATACAAAACTAGCACATCTAGCATGATCAAAACTGTATTTTATATAGTTTGAGGTATAATTGCATTGCTGTGTTCTCATAGCGCAGTGCCTAAGGCACTTGACTGCTTACCAGAAGGCTGGCGGTTCAAACCCAGCAGCCACTCCTCAGAAGGAAGGTTGGACAATCTACTTCCATAGTGATACTGCCTCAGAAACCCAAGGAGGGGTCGTTATGAGTCGGGTCCAACTCCACGGCACATAACAACAACAACAACATGTTCTTTAAAAAAAAAAAAAAAAAAAAAAGTGTGTATGCAAAAGAATAAAAAGGCCTAGAAACAAATACATCAAATTATTGTGGTGTGACAATAGGTAATTTTAGCATATTTTCCCCTTTATTCTTTTTGAAGTGTATCTATAATCTGTATTTCTTTTATAAATGAAAAATTATAAACTTGGAAAAATCAGCTTAGATGCGTGAGGTATTATGAATAGTAAATAAAATATACTAACAGTACATGTTTGCTTGAGAATATGAATTATTTTATTTCTTCAAATCATAGCATGTAGTATGTGTTAAGCTAGGATAGGAAGTACAATGGATATAATTTAAAAGGAAATGATTTTTAAATAGGCTATATAAACATGGTCTGTCAGCTTGTCATACTATGATGGCTTGAATTTTGATATGATGCTGGAAGTTATACTGTTGTTGTTGTTATTTGCCGTCGAGTCGGCCCCGACTCATAGCGACCCCTCCTTGGGTTTCTGAGGCAGTATCACTACGGAAGTAGGACTGCCCAACCTTCCTTCCGAGGAGTGGCTGGTGGGTTTGAACTGCCAGCTTTCTGATTAGCAGTCAAGTGCCTTAGGCACTATGCTACCAGAGCTCCTGGAAGTTATACTATCACTATTTTAAATACCAGCAGGGTAACCCATGGTGAGTAGGTTTCTGTGGAGCTTCCAGACCAAGACAGACTAGAAGAAAGGTCTGCAATCCGCATCTGAAAATTAGCTAATGAACACCCTAGGGATCACAACAGAACGCTGTGACATAGTGCTGGAAGATAAGCCCTCTAGGTTCAAAGGCCCTCAAATTACACAGTGGCCACAAGAGTGTACTTGAGCATGCCCAAGACTATGAAGATGGTACAGAACCAGGCAATGTTTTGTTCTGTTGTACATGGAGTTGCCGTGAGTCAGAGCCAACTCAAGGGCAACTAACAGCAACATACAAACATGAGTTAGGACAAGAAATAAAACAACAGTCACATCCAACTATACAAAACACTGATGAGATACTTTAAATTACTTAATTTTATCTAACTTTAAAATTCACATGTGCATCTACCTGGAGCTACTTGCTATCCTGTAAATCTTAAGACAACATAGCTAGGAGACATCAGAGTTTAAAAATACTGATTGAGAAGTGAACAATTTTGAGAACTTAAAATTACTAGGTCAGAGATTAAACTATAATTCACTATATGAATTGAAATTGAAACATTGGTGTTTGGCAAACAGGAAGACATCTATGCATTGAGATATCCACCTGGTGTTATTCACTCATCTGAAAAGTATGAGTATTTGCTCTACTTGTGTCATCACTATGGAGCTCTGATGGCACAGTGGCTAAATAAAGCATTTGGCTGCTAACCAAAAGGGTGGCAGTTTGAGCCTACCAGCTGCTCAGTGGGAGAAAGATGAAGCAGTCTGCTTCCATAAAGATTTACAGCCTTGGAAATGTATGGGGGCAGTTCTACTCTGTCCTACAGGTTTGCTATGAGTTGGAATCAGTTCAATGGCAGTTGGTTTAAGTTTGGTGTCATTACTGAACATTCCTCTTCTGATCTATTTTTAAAGGCTATCATAGACAGGTGAAGCTGAGGAGCCAAGGTGTAAGATAATCTCATCCCTAGTTACTATCTTATGTTTTTTGTCACATCTTGGTCCAAACATATCACTAGCAATAGTTTATCTTGGATCATTGATCTGAGTTTCTCTCAAATTACTCATGCCACACCTTGCACTAGAAGGTATTTTTACCAACAATCAAACTACTGGTTTGCATTTGCATCAATGACTTTTAATGATTATTCTTGGCACTTTAAATACTCTTGCATAAAAAAGACTACTCTTTCAGCCATTGTGAGTTTTGAAATAAATATGTACCTTAAGAGGAAGATGAGTTAGCAATGACCTTGTATGTCTTAATCAAACTTAAGTATGATTTACCTGCATCTTCAGGAGTTCTTATTTCAAATGTTAATAAATGCTCTTGTTTTTCTTCTATGTCTTGTAGAATGTCACTGATGGTCTGATGCTATCAGATAAAAATATTAGGAATTTCATTACAAGAGAGTAGATGTTTCTATTATCCTATTGACAAACATACAGTAAAGTGCTACAGAAAGTGCTGCTAAAAATGCTCATTACTCTTTACGATAAATGTGTTGTTGTGCCCAGGTTTTGAAGGAGATGCTCGGAGAGGAATATGCCAACACATGACAATGCAAATGCAATAGGAAAGTTTATTAGCTAACTTAAGTTAGGGTCTTTGCTCTTACCAGGTCAGTGGCTTAAGCAAAAGACCCTGTGCCCCGGTATTCTCACAATTTTATGGAACAATATGGGGAGGGGCAGCACCAGGGCAATAGGGTACAGATGACTGGTTGTTGCTAAGGGATTTTGGGCAGTGATCTAAGATGTTGGGGGACGTAAAGAAACCCCCCCGGCTCCAAAGTTCATTTAGGAAAATATTATCTAGGGAGGATGCAAGGCTCATATGTGGAAGACTTTCAGGAGTCGAGCAAATCTCCGATATGTGCTGAATCCGGATGGCTTTTGTGATGCGTGCTGAGTTCGGAGGAAGTTCCTTGATACCTGCTGAGACTGGAGGGCAGATAAAGGCCCTAAAGAGTCCAAAAGTTCTGTTAGTAATGCTGACACTAAAAGGTTTCTGGTTAAAGATTTTCCTGGAGGCTACTAGAGCTCTCAGACTCACAGTGTACTTAAGCTTTTTATAACTTTCACTGTATAAATACTGCATATTTGACACAAAGTAAACTTTAATATAAAGTAAACTTTATATATATGTTGTTTTTGCTGTTAAGGAAGGTGGGGCAATCTATTTCTGTAGTGATACTGCCTCGGAAACCCAAGAAGGGGTCACTGTAAGTCGGGTCCGACTCGACGGCACATAACAGCAACAACAATATATATATGCTTTGCAGTAGATCTATTTCTGGAAAATAGGATACAAGAGAAACAACTGTATAAGCAATCAGATCTTCTCAATGACTTCTGTTATAATGATAGGTATGCTGTTGTTGTATGTCATGGTTTGATCTTCACTCATAGCAAACCCTACAGGACAGAGTAGAACTGCCCCCATAGGGTTTCCAAGGCTGTAAATCTTTATGGAATTACACTGTCACATCTTTCCCTCACAGAGGAGCTGGTGGGGTCAAACCACTGACTTTTCAGTTAGCAGTCCAATGCTTAATCACTGCACCACGAGGGCTCCTTCAATTATAGGTATATCAAAGAAGCAAACCCACTGCTATTGAGTTGATTCTGACTTATAGCATAAATCTTTATGGGAGTAGATTGCCTCATCTTCCTCCCACAGAGCAGCTGGTGGGTTTGAACCACCAGCCTTCTGGTTAGCAACCAAATGCCTTACCCACTATGCCACCAATTCAGTACGTGATATTAAAAATCACATATATGCAACAAGTTCACTTTAAGGATTTATGACCACTCATTGCCCAATAGTAAAATCTCACATAAAATCTTAGAAATGCAAACCCCCACTCTTTCAAAAACTCACAAAAGGAATTTAATACCATCCTTTATGCCCTTGTTAGTACTAATTCTCCTGCCTGAAATGCCATCAACTCACTCTGCCCAGATTGCTCTCTTATGAGAGATGGAATCATGGAGTGGGCTCGGGAACCAGACTATGTAGGTGTGAATGTGTGAATGCTGACTCTACCTCTTCCTAGCTATTACAAGTTACTCATCAGTTTTATGTTTGAACTGAATAACGCATATAAAATGTTTAGGACAGTGCTAGCACAAAGAAAAGTTCAATAAATATTGCTTATTTCTACTATATAAAACCCTCTCATTCACAAAACCTCTAGCTAATCTAATTTAAACTGATTTTTCTTTTCTCAGAATTACTTAAGAATTTCAGTGCTACACAATTTAGTATTAGTATGTATAATGATTTATATATTATATTTTCACATTCAAGATAATGAGATCTTGTAGGTAAGAACATAGCTTTTTATATTTGTGTGTTCCACCTTGCTGGTTTTATAGTTGTTACTCAATACATAACGACTGACAAACTGACACATATTAACCATCCTTTAATGAACTTTCAATACATATTAATTTAAAAAATATGAAGGTCTTCAAAGCCTTCTGAACTACACTGCTGTGAAATTTTTCTTGGTATCCACAAGGGATATAGAAAATGCACAAAAGAAAATTATTTAATTATGTGGTAGATCAATCTCATTGCTGTCATTTATTAGATGCAACAAAGTGAAACTGTAAAATATAAATAGGAAAAACAAACAAAAACAAGGTTTCACTCTTTATATATTGAATGATCTGTGGTTATAAAAGCAAACAAACTAATGAACTAGTGCCCAGGATAGGCCTCTACCACAAGTTAAAAAAACCAAACCAAACTCACTGTCATCAAGTCGATTTCAATTCATAGCTACTCCCATTGGGTTTCCAAAGCATCTTTATGGAAGTAGATTATCCTATCTTCCTTCTGCGGAGTGGCTGGTGGGTCTGAACTGCCAACCTTGGAGTTAACAGTCAAATGCCTTAAGTAACGTGCCACCAGAGCTCCTTCTACCACAAGTTAGGATTAAAAAAAACACCTTTTGGTGTCAACTTTCTTTTCTGTCTGGCCTTATATTGTGGATACACGCAGTCATGTCCACCATGGGCCATAACCTCTCGCTCTACACAAGTTTCACATTCCACCTGTCCAGCATAACACTTCTTCCTTAATCCTTCATTACTGCTTCTCATATCTGGGGGTGGGGAGGAGGTGGGGGGAGAGAATCCTAACCTAGGATCTGTCTTTGGAACAAGCAGCTTCAGACAGTTTTTATTCTGTTTATTGCATGCTTCACTATAAATTTATTCCAGATTTGCTATTTTTACCATGGCAAGATGATCTTTGCCTGACACCTCTTTTACAGTTTTGTGCACAATGGTAAAGATTACAGGCTCTGGAACCAGGACGCCTGGGCATTGTTTCGTTCTGTTGTACACCGAGATGCTATGAGTTGAGAGCTGACTCAATGGCACCTAAGAACAACAACTTAAGAGAAATGTAATTTTGGATTATGTTACTTAACTGCTCTTGCTTCATGTTTTTTCTACATTGAGGAGTATAACAACAATAACAGAATCTACCTAACAGGGTTATTGTGAGGACCGCATGAGTTAATATGGAAGAGAACTTAGCATGTAGAAAGTGCTCAGTAAATGTCAGAAATTATTATTACTTCTGTACTCACTCCATACCAAGATAGAGAAGGAAGCTGCCTACATGCTGTAATATGAGAATGCTACAAAGTAGCACTAAATTAAAATCATCTGATTTCCTTTGTATCTGGCCATACTGCCACCTTATCTTCCATTTGGCTGGAAATTTCCAACATTTGACAATGTCATATTTACATAAGACATACTCATAAGGACTTTAAAGTTTTCATATTTTCTTCTGAGTTTTTTTAAAAAATTGATTTTAATTTGAATTCTTTATCCTTATTAAATTTTCTCTGCATCTTGACCTAATATACATTATTCCTGGAGCAAGTCCCATAAAATTATATAACAATAGGGCACTTTTTTCCATAATGTACTGATCTTTACATGAAAATATACCTTATGATCTTTATAATCAATATAGTAGAATGAGATAGCATAGAAAGACTCCTACCCATTCCAAACACACAGCAACACTGAAGAAAATATAACAAGCTTTAAATGCACATATATACATACATACAAACAGCCAAGAATGAGAAAAGAAAAGGTACCCCCTGATGCCAGAAATGAATCTAGCAGTGGTCCATGGGGGATTTGGAACAGACACAGTTCTTAGGGGCTGAAGTTTTAATGCCCACAAAGGACCAATAAGCTAGGTTGTTTTCCTCTTCCCTGTATTGATTCCAGGGTCTTTTTTAAATAGCATAGACACTTTCGAGGAGTGAATGGATTAAGATATATTATGACAGAGGCAGTATCTGTGGGACAAGAAATAGCTATAGAACCCCAATTAAGTACAAGAGATAGCAGCCAATCCATAGCTCTGTATTAAATGCAGATAACTGAGAGATAACCAAATAATATATCATCTCAGCTCATATGGTTCAATTACGTTATTATGCCAAAAAAAATTTTTTTTAATCTATGTGTCTTTAAAAAGCAATGACTACTGCCAACAGCCAATGCCTGGCTGGCCTCCCAAAAATGGCATTTTCTAGACTGAGAATAAAAAGATTTCAACTTCACTTACCATAAGGCTTTCCCTTGTTTTTCCTTGGTGTGAAAGGGAAGGAAGATCAACAGTTTTACAGTCGTCACAAACACACTGTTTGTGTCTTTTTGACTGGACAACAGGACTTTTTACTTAAAAAATAAAATTAGAAAATGTAATAAGCACATGTAAACATTTAACTTCATTCTATCAGTTGTAAATGTGACAGGGATGGGAATGTCTACAATAATTATAGTATCTTAATGTTACTCAAATACCTCATTTATTATTATTATTATTATGAATCAACTAGTTATAGCTAACATTTACTAAGCACATACTAAATGTTACATGTTAAATACTCTTCATGAATCATCTTATTTAATATTCATTCATACAAACCTTTCAAGGTAGGCAGTTTATTATATCCACTCTACTGAAGAGGGAACAGAGGCTTAGAGAGGTTCTGGAAGTTGTCCAGTGTCAAAGCTAGTACTGAAACTAGATTTATCTGACTCCAAAGTCCATGCACTTAACCACTATGACTATGATTCATTGCCCCTGTAAAGCTCTCTCCAACATGCTCTAGATTCCTTTCTCTATATTGCTATTGCACTGCATCTTCTCATATCTCCAGAATACCTGACCAAGGAACGTATACAAAAGAAACAACAGACAAGTGGGAATTGACATAGCACTATATAACACAGTCCCCAATAATTCCAAATGCAAAGCTTCTCTGGTAAACTGAGCCAGTTGAAAACATGGGACTTGAACCTTCAAGCGGCTGTGGAGAGGGAGAAAGATATGGTTGGAGCCCGAAGAAAGGTTCTGAGCCCACTTATCCTGACAATTTCATGAAAAAGGATGACTGGCCTTTCTCTAAAGGCCAGGCACTGTGGACTTATCACATGGTAGCAGGCAGTGAAAAGAGGAACTTTGCATCAGTCTTCACCTTGACCACTCTGTGATCTAGTTCACTAGTAAAATATGGTTCAGTGAGTATTTTTGGCTCTGACTAATCAGATCAGTAATTCTTCTTCCCTTGAGGATCAACAGTTGGTAAGGATGGTGGCTGGATGGGGAAGAAGTGTGTGATGTGGGTTCTTGCCCCAGTGTTCTTCCTCAGACAGGCAGAGGGCAGATATGTTTTTTGGGTTTCTTCTTCTATGAGACAAAGTTCAAGCACACACAGAAAAGGGAGAATTCCCTTTACTCAATAAACTGTTTTACCTTGTCCATTCTCTGGCCTGTCTTCTCACAAGACTGAAGTTCCTCATAGACAAGTGCTTAGTTGCAAAGCAGGGGATCAACAAATATGCTTTCTAAATTGTTGTTAGGTACCATTTGGCCCCCAACACCTTGCAACCTCATGCATAATGGAATGAACTGCTGTTCATTTCCCATGATCACCTGTGGATCACTCTGTTGTAATCCACAGAGTTTTCACTGGCTGATTTTTGGAAGGAGATCTATATGCCTATCTTCCTAATCTTCTGAGTCTGGAAGCTCTGCTGAAACCTCTTCAGCATTATAGGAACACACAAGTCTCCACTATAGGTGAGTGAGTGGTGGCTGTGTATGAGGTGCACTGGCCAAGACTGGACCTGAGTCTCCCATATAGAAGGTGAGAATTCTATCACTAAACCATCAGTGTCTCTGTTTTCTAAATCAGTGTTCAGTAAATGCCTATTTCTTATACATAATTCATTATATTATTTGAATGCAGACTATGTTAAAAACTTTATAAAATTTTGCTTGCTTGTATATTCCCTTGAAATTATTCTTCTAATATTTGCTTAAAAATTAATATTCTAGTACTAAAATATTAAGTTCTTGAAGTTTCCATCGGTCTAACCTATGTGGATCATTACAAATTTTGAAGTAATGGAATCTTAGTTGCAAAGACTTCATTAGATGTCACCTATTTTCAGTCCCACTTACAAGTAAACCAGTTGGCCTGGTTTTAGTTACATCTCTGTCTCACATCCAATGTTAAGGAGATAAATGTTTATTTAATGAATGATATGGATTTCATTTCAATGTGTCACTTCAATCCAACAGAATCATATGATCCATAAATTAACCTAAATTTGGAGATGCTAGTTGCTAAAATTAATAATGGCTTGTCAAGAGTTTATTAAACATAAAGAAATATCACTTCTCAGTTTTAAAACAATTTATACTAAAATCTAAGCAGAGGCATACACCAGTATAAAATAACAAGCAAAACTGACATACATACCAGTATTATTCTCATCCCCACTACTAGTCTCAATAGCACTGTAAGATTTCAGAAGTTCTTTCATTTTTTCATCATCTGCTTCATCCAAAGCAGTCTTCTGTTTTTGGTATTTTTGATTAGGATTTGCTTCGTGTTGTAATAGAATTTCAGCTGCCTAGAAGATATTTTTTCAAAGTTATCTCTAAAGTAATTTAATATCAATAATTCTGCTCTCATCACAAGACACAGCATTAAAAATGACCAAAAATGGGGATTTTCAGCAAGATGGCAGAATAGGCAGACAATCTACAGACCCTCTAAAACAAAAAAAATGAGAAATAAGTAGAAACGGATACAGAAATAATCTTGGCACCCTGAGTTTTGAAGTGGATTAAGTAACAACTAGTAGAAGAAACTACTATCAGAAGAAACTACTGCCAAGAGAACGAACAAATCTGTCCTGGTGAATGGAGGTGTGGTCATCCCTCACCTCCACCCACCTTCTGGACCAGCAGGAATTCCATCCTGGACCAGGTGCCTTGCCATAGCTGCCTTCTGGACAGGTAGGAACCAGTCCCAGGACTAGGCACCCTTCTCTAAGCCACCTTTTGGGCCAGTAGGAACTTTTTCTGAGACCAAGCACCCTACACCCAGCCATCTTTTGGGACAGCTGGAACTTTTCCTGATCCCAGTTGCCTTTTGAGATAGCGGGAACTTTGCCTGGGACCAGACACCCTGCCCACAGCTGCTTTTTGGGCTGGCAGCAATTCCTTCTGGAACCAGTGCCTTGCTCCTGGTCACCTTTTGGACCAAAGAACTTTTTCTGGGTCCAGGTGCCCTGCCCCCAGACACCTTCTGGGCCACGAGGAACTCATCTGAGATTAGGCATCCTGCCCACAGTTGTCTTCTGGTTAGACAGGAACTACTTCCAGGATCAGTTGGCCTTCTCCCAGCTACCTTTTGGTCTGCCAGGAGCTTCTTCTGGGACAAGGTACCCTATATCCAGCCACGCTTTTTCTTTCCCTTCTCTGGCTCTTGTTTTTTCCCTCTTTTCCTGGTTCCTTTCTTTTCATCTTTTTCTGTTTCCATTTTTCTCATCCTTTGTTTTTCTTTCTGCATTCTTTCCTTACTATTGTTTTTCTCCTGCTCTCATTTTTTTTCTCCCCTTCCTAGAATATTTTTTTCTTTGTCATTCTCGTCCCTTCTTTTCCCATTTATTTATTTATTTAGTGGTTGTTTATTTATGATGTTTGTGTGTTTTGTTGTCTTGTTTTTATTTTTTATGGTATAGTTGTTTTTTTCTTTTTTTGTCCCATCTGGCAGGAAGACAGCAACCATGCCCGCATGACCCAACCACATCCACACCTTCAGTAGCCCCACCCACTGGGTGAGAGCCACCACCTGCTTCTACACCAACTGATCAATGACAGACAGTGGCCAATACCAGCCCAACCCACCCTCAAATGCTCTACCCAAACAGCTAACAGAGATCTGTGTATACATTTTCATCCTCTATCACACTCACCAGAAGACAGGTGGTGAGTTGCCTAAGTGCTGCCATATTAGTAAAGAGAGTAAGTAGCACACTAGCCCTGCTCACTCAAACATATAATAAAAACAAAAACAAAATAACTGGGCTAATCACACCAACATACAATTACCAATTAAATATAAATACAATGACATCATGATATTTTGGAGACAATTACTGACCATCCCAGTTCACACAAAAGAACACGATAAAATAGTACAAACAAGGGTCCAGGATACAGAGCCTAAGAACCTCCCCGAGGAAGAAGTGGCATCAGAACTACCTCATAAAGAATTAACAGGAATTATAATGCCTTGGGGTCTAAGATGCAGACTAGGAAGACACACTATCCAGACTCTTTACAACAAAGACTTAAAAAATCAAGGAAAACAGCTATAGATGACCATCCTGGATCCCAGAGCTTCAAAGGAAAGGATAAAGAAGCAGATCAAATGCCAATGAGAGGAAGAGACTGAACAAAAACAGTGATCAAGGAGCAGTAAACTGCTAATTGGCACAGTGCGGCCATTTTGAATTATTGCCAGCAGCACTATGATGAGAACAGGAACCAGATAACCAGCTCCACCTGTGTAGGATTTCAGAAACACCCACATCAGTGATCAGGCAACCACAGAGGTGTGTTCTCTCCCCTTACCTCCCACAAGTTCCCAGTGACCGGAAATGTAGCTCTCTCCACCCATGCCCACACTGCAGTTGTTCAAACTGCCCCCACTACCAGTACGGGGGAACTTTTTAAAAAAAAAAATCTTTTGGCTTACTTATTCCATCCCTCTGTCTTCCCCCAAAGAATAGGAGATCCTCCCCTGCTATCCATGCAGGTAACAGTGTCTGTCCCTGCCCCTCCCTAGTCAGAAGTACTCACTCTGGTGCAGTTGTATTTGGTGGCTGGCACTTTCAACAATGTTGTGTTGCTTTTTTTCTTCCTTCCTTTTTCCTTCTCCTTAATGCTTCCCTCCTTCTACCCCTTTTTTCGTTTATTTTCTTTTGTTTCTTCATCCTCATCTTATTTGTTGTTGTTGTTGTTGTATGCTTTCTTTCTGCTCCTACTCCAACCTCTGTGGTCAGCAGCACCTATCCCAACCCCTCTGTGGACAGTAGGAGGAGCTCTTCTGGAGTGGGCTCTGTGCTCCCGCTGCAGCTGTGCTTGACAGCTAACACTTGGATCAGTTTATTTCATTTTATTTATCTCTTCTCTTTTTCTTTCTCCCCTCTTCTCAGTCCTTGCCTCTCCCCTGTGGCTTTGTTCCTTTGTCTCCCACTCTCCACACCATGATTTTTTTTCTCTTCTTCTTTTTTTCTTTTTGATCCATTTGAGTGAGTATCTTGCCCACCACCACCTCCATGTGCAGTAGTGGGGCCCCTGATTCTCTAGATTCAGTGGTGCATGCTCCCACAGAGTGAGTGTCACATTTCCACAGTAGCTGTGTTTAGTGGCTGTTACTTGCTACGTGCTCGTTATTTGCTTTTCTTCCTTTTCTCTTTTCCTTTTTCCTCTTTTTCTTTCTTCTTGGGTCTCCCTTCTTCCCTTTGCTTATTTTTCCTTTCTGTTTTTTCTTTTCCTCTCCTCTTCTATGTACCTCTCCTTTTTTTCTATTGTTCCCCATGAGTTGGGAACCAGTGACCCTACCCAACCATATCCATACACACCTGCTGCCCCGCCACCAAGTGAGTGCCACAACCCACACCAACATCACAGGACCAATGAAAGATGGGGGCCAAGATCTGCTCAACCTGCCCTCAGCTGCTATGCATGACCAGTGATCAGAGACTTATGCACACATTCCCAGCTACTGCCAAATCTGCCAAGAGACAGGTGGTGAGTGCCCTACTGCTGCCAAACCAGTGACCAGAGTAACATGACCCTGCTTTTGAATAGGTATATTAAAACAGAATGAAATAAAAATTCAAAGCTAAGCAATCCAACATATAATAAACAAATTAATACATTGACTCTATAATGTCTTAGAGACATGATGTCTCAAACAAGTGAGAAAAGTACATAGCCAGAAAATCTTCAAGAGGAAGAAATTCTAGTGAAATTTCCTAATAAGGAATTTAAGAGAATTACATTTAAGTACCTTCAATGAACTGAGAAGTTCAAGGGAAATATAGATAAAACTCCAAAAGAAGTAAAAGACCAATATAAGAACAAATTGACAAAATAAACAGAAAATTAGAAACTATACAAAAATACCAAATAGATATCCAAAAGATTAATACTGAAATTTCAAAAATGGATAATGCATTGGAAACAAAGGAGTAGAAATGAATTAGTGGAATGAACACAGAATTAATGGAGACAAATTTCTCAACATCAATTGTTGGCTGAACAATCAGGAAAAAAAGAATTAAAAATGAAGAAAGTGTAAGATTCATTTTGGATACTGTGAAGAGGACTAATTTACATGTGATTGGAATTACAGAACAGGAAGAGATGGAAAAAAGCACTGAGAAAATTCATAAAGATTTGTTGGAAGAAAACTTCCCTAATATCACAAAAGATGAGGAGATAGACATTGAAGCAGCTCTACGAACCCCAAATAGTATAGACCCCAAAAGAAAGTCAACAAGGCATATCATAATCAAATTTTCTAAAACTAAAGACAAAAAAATCTTGAAAGCAGCTAGGGAAAAAAAAATCACCTACAAAGAAGAACCAATAAAACTAAACTCTGATTTCTCAGCAGAAACCATGCAGGCAAGAAGGTAATGTGATGAAATACCTAAAACAATGGAAGAAAAAAAAACTGACAACCAAGAATTATATATCCAGCAAAACTGTCTCTCAAATAGCATGTGAAATTAGGACATTCTGAGATAAACAGAATTTAAAAGAATTTGAAAAAACAGACCAACCTTACAAGAAATGCTAAAGGGAGTTGCCCAGACGGAGAACCAGCAACAGCAGACAAGCAGAGACTAAGACATACAAACCATCATTTGGAAATCAACACTGAAATATAAGTACCAAAAATAAAAGAAACTTACAAGATATAAAATAGGGGAACAGACATACCAATTTGTAAATGATGTAAACTACAAAGCAAAAAGAAGGAATAAAGGATGTAGTTACAGAATTTCCAAATGGACAGGAAGTTAAGGTGATATCAAGATAGAACTGACGGCTTTAAATTTGGGAAGATAACAATGAATTATAGTGTAACCTCAAAGAAAATTAATACATCTCACACCAAAATAAAAAAAGAAAAAAAGCATAAAGTCTCAGAAAACAGTAAAACAATAGCAGTGAAGGAAATGATAAGAAAATACATAAACAAAATGAGGTCAGTACAGAAAAATATACAGAACAAAGAAACCATCAACACTATACAAAAATACACAGCAAAATGGTGGCACTAAATTCATACCTATCAATAATTACATTGAATATGAATGAATTAAATGCACCAATCAAGAGAGAGTAGAAGAATGGATAGCAAAACGACTTATCAATATTCTGCTACAAGAGACACATCTTAGACACAAAGACAAAAATTAGCTAAAATTTAAAGGATGGAAACACATATATCAAACAAATGGGAACCGAAAAATACCAGGAGTGGCAATATTAATTTCTGATGAAATAGACCTTAAGGCGAAAACCAGCAAAAGAGATGGAAGGA